CACTGCTGCAGACGCTGCTTGAGAAACTGGGCAGGCAAAACCTGTGGCTGCGGGCGCGGGAAGTCTTCAAACGTAAATATCACTGGATTACTGTCCCGTAAAAATCTAATTATTAGCTATTTAAAACCTCAAAGTGTCCGTGTTAATCCCCCAGATTCTCTGAGTGCGGGTTACTACCCTGACGTATCGGCTGCCCCTGGTTTGATGGCGCTGGTCGTACCCTGTCAGCTTGGCGAGGTGGAGCTCGCTCTCGCCTTGGAGATGTTTGTTGCCTTCAATGCGTCAGCCATTCTTCCTCTTTCAGACACCGCCACTTTTTCCCTCGACATCACTCTAAAAAGGTACATTGATGTTTTGCCAGGGTTTTACGAAAGTGCTTCATTGGCGAAAAAAAATGCAATTGGCGCACCGCTAAAAAATCACCAATAAAATACATAGAAGTTTTTCATTTGGAGTTGACAAAATGTGTTTAACTTTTAAAGGCCGCTCACTGTGCTCTGCATGGCCTCTCTTGCAGGACTCAAACCTGCGAGGGCGAGTACATCTCGGCAGGTAACCGGCTCCTCTCCGCAGCTTGCCTTCCCCAGCCCAAACTCACTGTCCGCTACACAGCGGTCAACTACTCCCAGGAGCAGCTGTTCAGGCTGGACGTTCCCTCCGCGCGCCGCTGGCTCCGCCACAATCATTTGTGGGCCAGCGAGATGTGGACGCAACGACCCAAAAGCGTCAACCCCAACTGACCTCGGTAACTATTTTGACGTCTACTTCCGTTCCAGCGTCCACGAACTCTCCGAGAAGCATCAATGAAATCAGGTAGAACAGCGTGTTTCTGTTCTAGTTCTACATTTCTTTTCTTCTTTCCATGCATGGCGACCCAGTCGCAGGAAATCACAACCAAACACTAGTGCCAGACGATCAAAATTTTTATGTTCATGTTTATTTTAAGCTCTTTATTTTCCTGAGGTAGTTTTGTTGGCTTTCACTCAGAGTTTTAAGGGAGTAACTTAGAATTTATTTCTTGCAGGGAACAATCGCATGTAATTTGGGGGGGTGGGGTGGAGTGGATGTTACAGTGTTATCTGTATATAAAATAATTAAATATGTATTTATATGACCACATTATGTTGCTGTATTGTTTGTTACAATCAAAACTGTTGCTTGTTCAGGACCTGTAATTTCCGATTTCTTTGAATTAAGTTTTTTTATTAAAAGTTTACTTCTTTGTGTGGGTGTGTGTTTATAGATCATGTAGCCACCCTGTGATTTATCATGCTCAAATGGGCAAGGTTAGACTCTGAAATGGTTAAAAAGTGTTTTATTCTCGGAAACATTTCAGGTTTTCATATTCAGGAATATTTCAAATTTGTTTCAAACGTCATTTAGAGATAACTATAAACTGGTGGCGCTTCGGCGGAAGGACACTTCACCGTTGCAATAAGAAGGCATTTCTAGCTTGGTTTTATCCAAACCAAATGCGAATCGCCATTTCTTTTAGTTTTTAAATAATTTGTATAAATAGTGTACTGTGACATTATACTGAAGGGGGGGAAGCGATGCGGCAGAGGAAACTAGGACTGGAGTTGAACTCGGGACGGCCAAGTCGAGGTTAGCGTACGGACCGCTAACGCTAACCGCGGTGGGGTTTTTTTTATTTTTATTTTTTTTTATTTTTTTTATTTATTACTATTTATTGTAAAAGATACTTTTTTGGCTTTTTCATGTATTGGTTTTACTCTCCTGGTTCATCTTTTGACTCGTTCTTGCGGTTCTGCAATATTGAACGGACAACAACCGCGTAACGCGCTGCTGTGAACTGAAAAAGTAACCCTCCGCGGAAGAGAGTCTTAGGTCAAAGTAGGTAATTGACGTGCTTTGTATCAACGTAGCATTTCATAGGTTAATGGCCCGCGTTGATGTCGACAGCCCTAGTTTCTAGAAAGCATTCTTCACATGAAATCAAATAATTAAAATGGATAGGTTAATTCTAACCTTGCTGACCTGAATATAGCTCCACTTGTAAAAGTTGAACTGTCGGGTCTTGACCTCTGTTCATGACGCAGGATGTGAGGCATGTCTGAGAAAAACATGCTGAGGAAAATATGCTCAGCAGTTCTCCTGAAAGTGGGTTTGAACCCAGTGACAGACTGAAAAGATCCACGTCAGACTTTACACGCCTCGGCACGTTAAAGGTCATCACCGAAGAGGTGGGTAAATATGTCCAGAGAAAGTTGGGTTCTGGACAAGACATGAGCTCTAAAACTGTCCTAAAGATAAAATGTAACTTCTTTTTTCATATAAAGAAGATTGTTACTTTTAAAACATGTCAGCACAAGCGTCTCTCAACAACATGGTAGTGGAGGGGTGATGATTTGGGCTCGTTGGGTTTATCATTGCTACCTCTGTGGACCAGGACTCCTCTGTGCGTCACATTGCGTCTGAATGTCTAAACATGGACCGAGTTGCGATAACACATCTAAAGTTTTGACCTCAGCCTGACTGAAATGCTTGGGGGGGAAAAACTGAAGTTGTTTTGAAAGAATGCCATCAACGTCAAGCTAATAGAGACGAGTGGGTCAGAATTCCTTCCCCGTGATCTCACAGGTGAGTTCAGACCAGAGACTGTCTGTGTTTTTAAGTGTCACAAGTGAATAAATCCTGTGGTGCGTTTAGCTTTTGACAACACAAGATGTATTTTGTTTTTTGATCAAACTGAAACCCCTCATCTTTTTATTAATCTGAAACAGAATTGGTCCTTTCAGGTGTAAAAGTTCGAGTTGAACTGTGGTGCCTTGCCCAAGTATTGATAACGTTTGTCACTTTAAAAGCACAAATCTTCAATGAACTTAAGTGGTTTCTTACAGAACAAAAAAATTTTATTGACAGTGTATTCAGCACCTTTAAGTTACGATATTCCCATGTGAAACCCAATTCACCCGATTGACTTCAGAAGTTAAATAGTATAATAGTACACATACTGCGCCTGTTTGTAATTTAATGTGAGTGAATCAGTATTCTGCAGAGTGTGGAATTTGACTTCCATGATTTCCAGTGCAGGAAAAGTATGAAAAATATTCTGATCTCCAAACTTTGTTCCCTATCCCATGATTTGGAGGATAGTCCTCTTTATTTCCTCCTTTCATTTTTTTTCTTGATTTAGCTTCTTCTGTCTTTGTCTTAATTATGCCCTTGCTTCTTTCTCCCTCCTTCCTGCTTTCTTTCTTGTCCTTCTTCACCTCTTTCCCTCTGTTCATTTTTTTTCTTTTTGCGGGTTTTATATGATAAGGTAACATACCTGCTGTCAAGTTATCAACACATCTGCCATCGAACTCATTAACTTTTGTATTTCACAGTTTTCAGTGGATCCAAAGGACTAAAACAAAACAAAAAAAAAAATCACAACTGTAAACCTGCCGAGACACGACCGACTGAACTGACAGGCCGGACAGGAAGTGCAACGGTCGGCAAAACGCTCTAAAGGACCAGCAGACGCTCAGTCTGTTGAAAGAAGGTACTTTGGTCCGGTTGGACCAAAACTGAATGTTTTGGCCTAGTTTTTGTACATAGGCTGAGACAGCATTTGAGTCGACTAATTGAATTCAATAATAAACTTCAGAATAAAACGTGCGAAAAATGCAAAAGAGCTACAATACGACGGTTCAGATCTAAATAAATATATATATTTTTGTAACATAACTCATATTCTAATTAATAATATTAATCATAAACTACAAGGAACCAGCTAGATTATTGATATTTGGTTCTACTAAATACATTATTTCAATAATTAAGGTTGAAAATGTGAAATTTGCTTAATTAAGAGTGCATTGACAGCTCTTAGTTATATAGGAATTCATAACCGCCAGGGGGCAGTACAGAGCTGCCCGCAGAGTAAAAATGCAGTTTCTCTGTGATTTCTCAGCACCTGATTGGTTTCATCTCCAGTGAGCCTACAGTTGCCACAGCATCGCTGTAGAAACGGGTAAATCCCCTCACCACAGGCGATCTGGTTTTATTGGGAGTGATTTCACACTTCCTACAAATATCCTCCCGAGTGAGGCAGTCATGAGCTCAAAGATGACTGATCACCTACAATAAATAAATATAAATGAGCCCTGCAGACCTTCACATGCTGCTCTAAGTCTTGCTGAATCCCAACATTCTTAAGGAGCCATTCAGACGGATTACGGGCCGGCGGCACCGGCGCCTCCACGAGTGTCATCCGGGGGCAGAAATAATCACAAGAACACTGAGCCGTTTGTGCATTTTCCAATTTCTGCCTCCAATCGGTGCCATTTTAATCATATCCTCCCCTCCTCTCTCTTTGCCTCTCTCGCAGCGACGTTCCTGGACGTGTCATCGCAGAACTGATGTTTTTGTTTGTGTCATGTAAGTGGATAATGCTTGGTTTCTTGGAGGTCACATAAGCCACAGCACTGATTCACGGCGCAAGTGTGTGTGTGGGTGTGTTTCGTGTAGAAAGGCATGAGCGGCCTGGTATTTTTAGCTCATTCATCCTCTTTTCACCCGACTTAGTGTTTGGCTTGCTGAATGTCTCATATGACCTCACTCATAAAAACATATTCTAACTTAATAAACGGGAGTTTTGGGCCACTTACATTCCTGCAAGTCTGCACTTGAAAGTCTTTTTATTGCCAATTTTTAACAGTTTTGTGGTGTAAATCTGTATGACAGTTCTTGTCTGATAAGACATTCCAAACAGTTTGCTTAGCAATGGGAACATGTTTTCAATGCTACGTATTTAATGGGCGAAACGAGTTAAATTGTTAATTAATTTTAACACGCTGGACTCAATGCTCCATACTAGGATTTTAATGAACGACGTGGAATGCAATAAAATTAGAGATTTGCGTTTGCTTTGCCTAGCTCCCAATAATAAAATAACAACAAATTGTATCAATTCTCTCGATTTCTGCATGGCAAAAAAATAAGACGGGCAGAGCGGGACCACACTGAAAGGACCATTGTCCTTCATCATTTCCTCCAACTTTATCAACAAAGCCGTGCACGTACGCACGTCTTCCCACGTGACCACGTTCGCTCTCTCAGCTCGCTCGCGCCTGTTCACACACACACACACATACACACACACACACACACACACACACACACACACACACACAAACACACACACATCTTCCTGGCCGTCGGGAGCGAGCATGCGGCACACCCCCCTCTGACCGTCGGGAGCGAGCTTGTGGCACACACCCCTCTCTCTCTGCTGTGTCCCCTCTCAGGACGGAAGTGAGTCCATTTTTCCCCTCAGTGAGATAAAAGCGGCTGGAGGAGCTGCAGCCCGTGCAACACGCGCCCGTGAGAGGGCTCACGCTATGTTTCACCTGTGTGTTTTCGCCTCGTTGCAAACAACAACAACAACAAGCGAGAAAACGAGGTAACTAGAGGGCCGTCGGAGCTAGCCACTCCGGGTTTTTTTCTGTCTTGTTGAGGGGGCCGAAACCCTGCGCATTCCTCCACGCAGAGCGCCGGACGGGGTGGGGGGGGAGACTCTCCGACGGACTGGACGGGGACGGAGAACCGCGTTCACTCAGCGGTGGCTCCGGACGGCGGGTCCTGCCTCCTGTTTTCGGCTGCTCGGGAAAGCCGCCGTGGCTGCTCTTTGGTGTGACGGTGGCCGGGTGCACGCTGCGACCTCCCTGCTTTGATGAATAATTCACGTGCTCTGTCTCTCTCCGAGGCTCGCGCTGAGAATACCGAGCGACCGTCGGCCGCGCGTGACGCCTTCTGGACGGACCTCTAATGGTGGCGGCCAGGCCAAGCTGGTTCGACTGGTTTTCCGCACAGAGGGCAGCATGAAACACGGGAGCGGCGTGGGCTCCGTGGCTGTAGTCTAGGAGCTGCCGAGTGGCCCTGAAGTCATGTTGCCTGGTCGGTGGGGGAGGAGAGATTTAGCTTCCTGGACTTCAACACCCATCCAGTTTTAGGATTAAATCAGCGACGGGGACACTTTTCATGCACCAACAATTGTCCTTGGCGTCGTGTCATCTTATTCTCATTGGAAAACTGGACTCTTAGAAATTTTGCTCATTCCTTTTTTTTTGAGAGATGAGCTGACGTTTTTTATAAATATATTATCTAAAGAACTGTCTAATTGTGAAAGTCGATTGCCCCCACCTCCCCCTTTTTTTGCATCTAATTGAACTATTTAAAACAAATTCAAAACTTGTTAATCAGCACAGTGGAACTGACTGTTAATACCTCAAGAATCTACCTCAAATGCCACAGTTTCTTCAATTTAACTGGCTGACGTGACCTCTGATGAATACCTCAAACTCACTTTTCCCTGCATGTGTTGTGAGCTGAGCTGTGTTTCTGCTCCAGATGGCTTCTTTCCCCGATTCTGACCTGCAGACCTGTCCGCTCTGCAAGGAGCTGTGCGGCTCCTCCGCTCCCATCTCCTCCAGCTCCTCTACCTCGTCCTCCTCTTCGCACACCTCTGGCTCCTCCAACCATGCCACCAAGAGGCTCCACGTCCTGCCTTGCCTGCACACCTTCTGCAGGCAGTGTTTGGAGGGACAGCGCAGCCCCAGTGACCCGCTGAAGCTGCGTTGCCCCACCTGCGACCACAAGGTCTCCATCTCTGAGGCCGGAGTGGACTCCCTGCCCTCCTCCAACTTCCTCTTCAGCAACCTGTTGGACGTGGTGGTGAGCGCGGAAGATCAGATCCAGAATAAGAACGGTCACCATCACCTCGGGGGCCTGATCGGGGGCTCGTCCGGGTTCCACCCGTCCCACGGGGGCCTGCTGCACGCGCAGCACCTGGGGGAGCCTCAGTGTAGCTCCTGCGACGAGGAGAACCCGGCAACGTCCCACTGCCTCGACTGCCAGGAGTACCTCTGTGACAACTGCGTGCGAGCTCACCAGCGGGTGCGGCTGACCAAAGACCACTTCATCGAGCGCCTGGGGGAGAGCCTCCACCTGAGCCGGGTCAACTCCAACAGCAGCGGCACGGGCCAGCCGGGGATGTCCGTGTCCCTCGCCCAGTCCTTGCAGAACAACTTTGCGCTGCTGTCCCTGTTCCAGGACCGGATGAGCTTCTGCCAGCACCATGACAGCGAGGTGAGTGGTACCAGTTTCTTCAAATGTGTAACAAGATGTGTATTATTGACATAAATGGGCAAGTTGTAAACTTTGTTACGTTAGTCCCTTCTATGGTTCTGAGTGTGAGCAGCAAAGAACCCGTACTATGGGCTATATGGCCTTAGGTTCAAAGGGAGCTGAGAGGCTCTTCACCTAGTTCCCTGAGAGGAGCATGCATGTTTGTTGAGCTAGATATCGACACACACACACACACACACACACACACACACACACACACACACACACCACACACACACACACACACACACACACACTGCGTCCATACAAACACTTCTAAGCATAGATTCTGGTTAATCTGTACCACACCAACCATTCTGGGCAGAGAGACGGAGAGAGGCTTCAGCAGTAGCTGCACAACACATATTTCTGATATGTTTAAAGGTCCTCTCTTGGGTAAGGATATATATTTTTATATAGGTTTTTTTTTGCACCATGTGTTCTGGGGTGAAGCAAACTATCATGTGTTACAGGAGGAGAAAACCAGCTTGTTTTTATTTCTGTCATATGCTTATGAAGAACAGCAAAACATTTATAAGAAAGGGTAGGGATTAATGGCAATGTGATGATCCTCTTATGTTAAGTGGTTCCTTTGCACAATAAGAAAGTAGGTAATTTGATTCCTATTTTTTAAGGTCTCTTTCTACTTAAAAATCTGAGTTTCTGACATCCTGATTGAAATAACTGCAACATTGTGTTATGGTTTCCGAATTCCAACTTTGAGCTCTTCAAACAACCTGAAGTTCAATATCCAACATGGCCGCCAATAATAGGCCAGTTGCAGCTATGAATTATCAGCAGCGTTGAAAGTTTGCATCTGATTACGTTGCTGGCAGAAATACTGTTGTACAACTTGGACTTCTAGCGTGAGACTTTGATGTTTGATGGCATACAATGGGGATCCGTATACCATGCTAACACGCGTATTAGCGTCACAACAATCTGAAAATTCCAACTGTTGTTCTACGTCGTTATCTGACTCTCATGGTACATTATATGCAGCTTAGTTATAGAGAACGGAGCACAAAAAAGTATTTTCATACTTTTATCCTTATTTTCAATGTCTAAATGTTATGTCCATTGATATCCACTGGTAAATCTTCAATTTATTTGTTCTTTTATCCATCTGTGAGAGGGGATATGGATGTGCATGGTTAATAAACTTTGTTGCTACGTTTAGCAACTTTTTAGACAAAAAAAATTCAATATCGGTCAAAATTGGAACCAGCAGGGCAGGGTTCTCAAAAATCTGTGAACTGCCGTTAGTGGCATCTCTCCCGATCAGTGGTGGCATAGTTACTTTGAAAAAATAACTGTAATCGGATTTCTGATTACTCCTTGAAAAAGTAACTTAGATGACTAATTACTTGATTTGGAAAGTAACTTTTTTAGTTACTTTCTGCAGTTGCTAACATCGCTCTGCCACTTGTGAAAATTACATTGATCTTTGCCAAAACTTAATTGCAAGTTATTTTATAACAACTATGTATTTCCACTTATAAGGTTGTACTGAAGGGGAGATTGTGTAATGGTTACAACAGTACAAAAAGACTTTAGTAATTTGTGTGTGTTTTTGTGTTCCACTATTTTCCACTAAACTCTAAGAAGGATTTTAGCGCTCCACCTCTCCCTTTATGTTGGCTTATTTCCAAGCCCAAATAAGCAACTTCACGTTCAAAACCAAGCCCAAAAGCGCAACCCGCGACTCATTAAATCTGCCAGCAACTTTAGAAAAAAATCAAGCCCAGAGCCTTATAACAATTGGGCTTGGCGACAGAAACTCAAAAAAAGTTTCTGTTGTTCCATTGACAAAATGCGCATCTTCTTCCTCCCTCCATTGTTGACATTTCTGTCGTTGCTGATACTATCGCATAGAAAGCCATCGCTCACCAAGGGCTTTGCATTTTGCAGATTTTGCATTTATTTGCAGAAAAATCTTTTTTTAAACTTGTAATTTAGTTTTTTTAATTTTTAATGTTTTTTTAATTCCAACTGGTTAAAAGACGTCTGGTTGGGAAAAGTGGATGATTTTGACGTGAAAAATGTGTAGGACCCCTGATTTGATGGCATAGATTTATGATGTATGTGCGCCCAATTAAGTCCGTTAATCTGATGGAAAAAGTCAATGCTGTGTTAACATTTTTTACATTGCCAATAACAGACTGTGGTTACAATCTTTTAAGTTACGGAGGCATGTGTCTCTCACTGCCTGGGTCTGCAATTAAACACTGCCGACCCAGCAGGATGCCATTCATTGTTAACAGGAACTCACAAAATCTACTGGTGCAGCCCACCATGAAGTTACATGTGCTGTATGACTTAAGTAGGTTCAGGAAGGTTTGGCATCATGAAAACTTGCCCTATTGCCCCCATCTCTTCCCCCCTGTCCTCAGAAGCCTCATAAGAGCCCTAATAGGGAGGCAGCACTTTAGAGATTACATTGAACCGTTGGGTCAGGGGAGGGCTATAGCAGTTCTGATTGATGAAGTGTTTCCAACGTTTTCTGTCGAACTTTCTCTTTTATCTCTGGGCTGTCTTCTACTAGACTTTGTGATTTTTGTCAATTTGAAACTGTATGGCGAAAATGATTGTTGTTTTTGTGACCGTCTGAAGTCCAATTAAAAGGAAAAACTCAACTTGTGGCAAAAAGGAGAAATAATTGAAACTGGGCCAAGAAAATGTTTGATTTCATCAACATGCCGCAGAAGGTTTGGGTCACCTCCTGGGGAAGAAATGAGAACAATGTCAGATCCACAGTAATCTTAACATTGTTGGATCTCACAGCTTTTGAAGTGCAGGAATTTAAGTATTGCCTGTGTGTGGCCTGGGGTTCATTGTTGTATGCACAATGACGAAACCTCCTTTTTAAATTGTAGCAGCAGAAATGACTGCAACTACCAGTTACATTTTAATTTTGTTTTGCTTTTTTTTTTTTTTTTAAATAGACAGCTTTCACCTTTAATAATGAATTTTGAAACTTTGGTGCAACTCACCCTAAAATGGGTTTATTACATGCAAATATGGAAGCCATGCCAATGTCTTATTCATTAATCAACCACTTAAGCTTACCATGTCGCATGAATCCAGTGTCGAGCTACAGTCGGGTGACCCATTGCACCCTGTGGTCAGTGCAATTAACTACAATTACACTGCCCACCTAATCTACTTGCTGTTTTGACTCTGAATACATTCCCTTGTGGCTTAAAGTGTGTAATGACAATGGGTTGGCGTTGTCCCTCTGCATTCAGTCCTGAATCAGGCCAGGAACAGGTTTGAACAAATTCTGTGTTTATTTTGCGAGTACAAGGTTTGATGATTCTGTGAAAAGCTGCTCGATTCCGCTGTTGACTAGAGCTTCACGCATGCGTAGTCCCAGCTGTGTCCTGTCGCCATTAAATTTGTCCAAATTTTCATTCCCAGGAAAATGTAAATGTTTGAAAATTTGTTTTGAATACCTCTTAGATATGTTTGGTTCCATATCCATTCACACTTTGCCACTTTTTGCCCCTTCATAATTCTCATACCTCTGAATCAACTAATGATCTATTTTCTATTGCATATTAGTTTTTCTCTAGCTCTGTGTTCTCTGATCAAATTATTCTTTCTGTTGATTGATAGCCTCTTATCTTTACATCATAAGTAATAATAATTTGCTTTCAAAATGGCAATGGATAAATTCCCACAGTGGTTATGAATTTAAACGTGCTGGGTCCAGAACGTCCCATTGCAATCGACTGACGTTTAGAAATGGTAAAGAGGTAAAGTGACCTTGTCTGAAAGTTATTTTGGATTTTCAGTTTGATGTTTTGGCTGTCGCCCCCTACTGGTAGGTATTTTTTTAATTTTATTTTACACATTGTAAGAAATAATCCCAGTTAACTCGCCAATACGCACCAAGTTTACACAGCCTCTACATTTAATTTCTCTTCTGGGTGGACTCTAATAATACGGTGTAATATTTGAAATGACTCGTCTCCAAACTCTATTGAAAACACAGCTTGAAAAAAACATTCTGCAAACACAGAATTATTATTTTTTTTCTACATTTTATTGACTTTTTCTAAGAACCGGTTCATTGAAGTTAAAAATTTGGTGAAAGAGTAAGTGGATAAACTTGAACTTCTTTTTGTACGACAATGAGTCAACTTGCAGCAACAAAGGACAGTTTGGATTACCAGTTTACTAATGTTTTTTTTCCTTACTGGCCTCTTTTTCTGTTCTTCCCCTCCCATTTACACCACCAGTCCATTGCCAGTAAAAAGGTAGGTTCAGTTTTCCAGTAAGGGCCTCATTTCCCACTCACTCACTCACTCACTGTTCTTCAGCCCTGGGGGAGGCAGTGACACAGGAGAGGGCTTGTCTTTCTCTACCTGTGCGCACGGAGAAAACAAGGCCATTGTCCGTCAACCATCTCCATGTCCATCATCATCACATTCTCCCATTTAGATCAGTTTTATATTTGCTCAGTTCAGTTCTTGGCTCTCTTCCTAATCAGTGTGTAGATGGGTTACTATTCTCTTTGTGCGGTTTCTCATTTTATTGAAGTGTTGACTTGAAAAGGCATTTTAACCCCTTGTTTAAGGACAAGGACAAAACACAAATGGCTCTCTAATCTGTCTCATGTTGCTCCTGAAATGATCAAATCGAGCTGACAGTTTGCTCATCTTTTTGATTTTTCTTAATGTGCTCAGTCTTGGCGGATCCATACATTGATAGGTGCTACTCTGTTGAAAACTACTTTGACGTTTTCACTCCAAGAATCACTGTGACATGTCAAATGGAACATTATTCAAATAACTTGTTTAAGAGAATGAAGGTAATGTGCAGCTCTGTTGTTCTGGTTATTAAAACACTTGAACGTTGCAAGAAAGTACTAAAAGAACAAAAAGCGTTCTTTCGTTTATACTTACCAAATGTTACTTGGCAACATATGCTCTTACAAATGAGAATGAGAATCTATT